GGGCGGGAGGCGGGAGGCATGAGCAACCTAAAATGAGCATTTGGAAATCTCCTGGATGGTGGTGTTGGATCAGCCCAGTTGGCTTTTCAAGTTGGAACTCTGCTAATACACGGGATTCGCGTCCATCCTGGCGGCTGGGGACGTGGGCCAAGCCAGCAGGCTCCCTTAAGGGTGACGATAACACGTTTGTTGGCAAGATGCATTTCTACGGAAACGTCTCTACATCTGTTCTTTGGAATACGACTTCGTGATTGAATAATACACCTGAAGGAACTGGACAGTGAGAAAATGAAGCTTCACCTAACGATGTTCAGCTGGGTTATTTTTTTTTAAGCAACACTTGAACAAAGACTTATTGGCTTGAACCAACTGTCCTTTTCACTCAGAGTGTGACCTATTTCCCTACAATGAGCAGAAAATAAAGCTGTTTGAGAATTCAGAGCCAGCATCCAGAGAAATGAACCATTCCCTCGACTGCTTCTCACTTCCATAAGGGAAAGATGATTCACATTACAGGATCACTAAATGTAAACGAGAATAGATGGTTTGGCTGTTTCCCCCGAGTAAAAATGTGGGTGGTAGAGGAATACGTATTAGGCTGTATCTTAGAGCCCCACCTCCATCGCCCAGATACGTTAAATCAATGCCTTGTCTTTTACACACTAATAGCCTCTGGTACTTTGGTGGCACTGGATGAGTGTAGAGGCCAAGGGAGGTATCCTGTTCGTACCAATATGAAGCTTTTCCCTTCGCTCAAGTTAGACCTGAAGCGGCCAAAGGTTTTTCTTAGGGTCTCTCAACTTACAGGCATTTTCTTCTTGTAATCCGGTTGTTTAGAATTTCATAGCTGCTGCCTGCCTCCATTCCTTTCAGGAGCACACTCGCTATCGTGTACACACACACACACACACACACACACACACACACACACACACACTTTCCAAAAGGAGAGTCCCTCTGATGTTGGCAGTAGGCTGAAAACGACCCATATTGACACGAGTAACAGCATCCCAACTGTAAATATAGATTCGTCTACTAGAGTCTGTGTCTCATCACAGAGGAAAATTAATTGTACCATTTCATACAATGATCATAATGCAAGCATTTTCGATCTTCTGTAAATGTCCCTTAATTTATATGGTGAGAAACAATCACTAATAGGGAATAGGCAAAGAGACGAATTTGGTGAGCTCCGAAGGCCAATCTCAAAATATTTTATTTCATGCCAACGTGGGAGAGGGAAGGGAGTGTGTGGCTTCGGCTCTTTGCTGCTTTTGCATTTTCCACATCTGGCCTACAGACCTAATTCCAACTCGCGATCTCGTTTGGTGAAATTCGATCGTCGTGGTTTAAATACCTTTCAACGTGGGACGATTTAACAATTGCTGCTGTTAAAAAAACAAACCCTGAGCGCTATCTGTGAAACCCATATGGAACGCGGAGAAGGAAAACATGCTGCAAACACACAAACGCTACCCATTGTCTTTAACACTCGCACACACATACATATACATAAACACACGGGAAAGATGGGGGAGGGGAGCAAGTGGAGAGAGACAGACACGGATATAGACCGACAAGAGTCAGTGCGAGTCAAGTTAACGCTTTCTCCGCCTCCTTCCACAAGTACCCCCCTCCCGCGTTAATTAATTCCAAACAAAGCAAGCCAATCAAGGGATGCATTATTATTTTCAAGCCGAGGGAGGCAAGAGGCATGTATTTTTTAATTGATTTATTTATTTGGAGGACATTAATTCTCTGTCTGAAGCTGATTTTCAAACCGTTTGCAAAGCGCGGCTCCATTGTTCGCCGGGCGCGCAAGCCCCGCCCCCTGCTTTGTGTGCGGCGCGCGGATTGGCCGGCGCGCGCGGGGGCCGCGTCAGCGCCCGCGAGCCCATTCATCTGTGCACTTGGGCGTTGGACCCCGCATCTTATTAGCAACCAGGGAGATTTCTCCATTTTCCTCTTGTCTACAGTGCGGCTACAAATCTGGGATTTTTTTTTATTACTTCTTTAAAAAAAAAGAACTACACTTGGGCTCCTTTTTTTGTGTGCTCGACTTTTCCACCTTTTTCCCTCCCTCCTGCGCTGCTGCTTTTTGATCTCTTCGACTAAATTTTTTTTATCGGAGTGTATTTAATCGGTTCTGTTCTGTCCTCACCACCCCCACCCCCTCCCTCCGGTGTGTGTGCCGCCGCTGCCGTTGCCGCTGCTGCTGCCGCTGTTGCTGCTCGCCCCGTCGTTACACCAACCCAAGGCTCTTTGTTTCCCCTCTTGGATCTGTTGAGTTTCTTTGTTGAAGAAGCCAGCATGGGTGCCCAGTTCTCCAAGACCGCAGCGAAGGGAGAAGCCGCCGCGGAGAGGCCCGGGGAGGCGGCTGTGGCCTCCTCGCCTTCCAAAGCGAATGGGCAGGTAAATTCTACCTGTAGTTCTGGTCATTTCTTTGGTGTCTTTCTCTAGTCTCGAAGCTTCCCTTCCTTCTGTTCGCGCCCGGGGCGCATTCGGTGAAGAAGAGCGTGGCCGGATTCTAGTCTGAAAGTTGAATGGAAAAGGATAGCCTAAATTGTCAATTTTTCATGGAGGGCTACCTCCATCCCCCACCCCAAAGAAGTGGTTCCGGAGAATCCTGGCGCATTCTTGAGTAGACGGGAGAAAAAGAGTGATAAATCGTCTAAAATGGCGTGGTTTGGAGGATGGCAGAACGTGACTAGCTAGATGTTCCCCCTTAAGCCAGGGTGCATTTGTATTTGGGGGCACAATGGTTTTGGGGTATCCTTCGTGTTTGTTGTTGAGACTGGGTCGCCTTCGAGATATCTGAACTGGTCGTGGTGGTGGTGGTGGTGGTGGTGGTGTGTGTGTG